TCAAATTAGTCTGGTTATCTGGTAAGGCTTGCAATAATTTTCAACTAGATCAAGTACACATGTAGTGTTCGACTTACAACAGCTGATTTAGTGACCGTTCAAAGTTACAATAGCACTAAAAAGTGACTTATGACCGCTTTTCACGCTTATGACCATTTCAGCATCCTCATGGTCACATGATCAAAATTCAGTCGCTTAGCAACTGACTCATATTTATGACAGTTGCAGTGACCCGGGGTCATGTGATCCACCTTTTGTGACCTTCAGTCAATGGGGAAACCACTTAACAACTGTTACTAACTTAACAACTGCAGTTATTCACTTAACAGCTGTGACAAGAAAGGTCATAAAATGGGGCAAAACTCACTTAACAAATATCTCACAGAAATTTGAGGTTCAACTGGTCGTAAATTGAGGACTACCTGTATTTATTTTAATAGCAATAGGATCTTTTAAGAAGCAATTCTCATGCTACATTTTTAAAATTGCTAATCTGCCCTTTCCTTAGGACCCAGAGGCAATAACTAACCAATGCGTGAAATTAAGCATAATACATACAGATGCTCTGTATAGTTTTTCATTTACCTGTTTGCTACTGTTTCATCTGCTAGAGAGATATCTTTCTTAGATTTCTTTGTTTTTTTAAAGGACTGTCTTTTAGTTGATGAATCTTGAATTTCTGTGATAATTTCCTCTTCTTTATGGTTGCGTTTCTTATTTTTCTTTTAAAATTAATACACAGTCGAACATAAAAAATTAAAGTGTTAGACAATCCAGGAAGGTGAGAATATCCACATATAGTTTTGCTAAATTTGACAATTTGCTCGTTATTAATACCTCATCGCATTTCAGACTGTATACCTTATAAATGGAGACTGGACAATTGCTCATGTTAATTGTTGAACCTAAGAATAGTAGCCAAGATCTTCTATCTGAGGGAAGTAAAATGGTATCTGGGCCTATCTTTTACTAAAGTCCAGTGATCACAATGGTCCAAAAGCCACTAAATGGAACAGGGAGAAACACAAATGGAAAGCAATTCAAGTCATAAAAATAAGAGGATTGTATCTGTGTTTCTTCTGTTCCAGGTCTCTTTGTACTACATGCATGTGTATTTATTTATTTTTTTAGAACAAGGAGAATGTGATATAAGTTGCCTAACTAAATGTTCCTTTATGTTACAGAGCCTAAGAAAACATCAGAGCACCTGGAACTGATCACTTTTAGTTAATTTCAGTTTAGTAAGAAGCCTAGTAGGCAGAAAGCCAAGTTTAGACTAGTTTCTTATCTCATTACTAAAGCTACTAAATGAAGAACTGAGAGATCCCATTCAATTAAACAGAGATGTTACAATCTCCAATTCATTTCTATTTACAGAACTTGTGATAAGGATTTAGTTACATGACTTTTGAAACCACTATTACAATTTCAATCATAAATCACAACTTTGGAATTCAACTGTGAAGAAGAGTTTCAAGAACATAACTTTCTTTTACATTAAACAGCCTTTTGAAATTGAATTTCAAAGCAGCAATTATAAAAATTATTAAACAAGGTTTAGAGTGTTTCTTAATTACACTTGAATTAAGAACCAGTTGAAATTCCTATATTTTATATTCTAACATGTTTCCAGCTGCAATTATAGAATTCTTGCCCTATATTGTAGCAGAGATTGGAACTGGATCAAGTATTTTTTAAAATTTGTTTATACCCAATTTGGACTTATGGAGTGAATATTGTGGCAACCAGATTTGCTGTTAAAAATTATTTTTTTTAATTTTTTTATTATATTTCACCATACACCATACACCCAAACAAACTTAAAATACATAAATATAAATCTTTTCTTTTAACAGAACAGTACTATACATTTTAAGCATTCTTTACATATTATTTACATTTTATGTACATCAATAATTATGTCTTTTCCTTTCTCTGTTCTAGCCAATTATAACATTTATTCCAAATTTCATAGAATTCTGTCGCCTCCTTGTCTTTTAATTCTAACGTAAGTTTGTTCATTTCTGCGCATTCCAGATGTTGACTACAACCAAAGAACTAACAATGCAGAAAATAACAGGAGAAGTGGAACAATCAAACACTAAGACAGAGGACTTAATTGACCAACAAATCCAGCCAACAGAAAAATCAGAAAAGGTAGAGACAACACTGAAAATGGAAAATACTTTCTATATAAATCAGAAGAAATTTGAGGAGAAGGAAGAAGAACAGATTGAATGGAAGATAAACCTATCAGGACAATCGTGGGAAATTGGGGTAATAGGGAGGCAATCTAATGAATACAAATGGGCTAGTTCTTCCAAAAAAACTGCAACTAAATGGTCTTTTTTATTTCAAATAATATATATAATAATAGATGGAGAACTATTTGATGATTTGAAAGCACTGACATGGAAGGCTAGTTGGCAAAGGAAGAAAGCCAGAGTAAGGCTGAAGAAAATTAGGGTTTTGATTTATTAAAGGGGATTTCATATTACTAATTAGAGGATTGAATATGGTGGAAAATAGATACATTTTAGAAAATAAAGTAACATTATAATTGAATAGATAAGATGTGTAACAAGACTAATAGACTTTGGTATGAAAAGGGAAAAAGAGAGAAGTTGAGATAAGGGGAATTTTGGTCACCTAATTTAAAATATTTGTAAATCAGTTGAAAATAAGAATTCTTTTCTACTTAATAAGAGATAATAGATATTACCAGAAAAAGAGAGGGAGTATTTGAACTTTTAAAAATTAGACCCAAATGAAAAAAATTATGAATATTATTGATTTATTGGTTAACCCAGACAATACATATAATGGTTTTGATTTATTAAAGGGGATACTGTACTATTAATTAGATGGTTTAATATGGTGGAAAATAGATAACTTTTAGAAAGCAGAACAAGACTATACTCAAATAGACAAGATGTGTATTTAGAATATTAGATTTTGTTATGAAAAGGGAAAAAAGAAGAAGTTGAAATAAAGGAAACTTTGGTTGCCTAAAAACTTGGAAATTATAAATATCAAATGTTAATTTGAATATTGATGGAAATCAAAGCTTGGGAAAAAAGCAATAACAGGACATTGATTGTATATAAGGATTGAATGTAAACACAATTAAGATATGTATAAGCTAAAATTATTGATAAATGTAATAATGTTTTTATTTAGTTGATAATAATAATAATAACTGTATTAGCCTAATATGAGATAGTAGATATTAAGGGAAAAAGAGAGGGAATATCTGATGTTGTAACTTGAGAGTTGTACTAAAGTTTCATGTATGTTATTGAACTATTGATTAACCCAGTCACCACGTTGCTCTTTAAATACTTAATTGTAAAATTAGAAAACTAATATTATAAAAGAGAAGTTCTTTATATAATACACAAACTGCACAATTTACTAACAATAGGTGTCACCGGTGCTTTTTTTCTAAAAAAAAAAAAAAGGTGTCAGAACTCACACACATCATACAATCTGTCTTGCCTATCCTACAAGGTTCCATTCAAAAAAGGTGCCGGAACTCCGTTCTGGGCGTTCTATGACAAAAAAAGCCCTGGGTGTCACTCAAGGAATGGAAAATGTAATCGAGGATTGGGCTATTAGCAGCCACTAATTTTGATTGGCTGTTTGCTACCTTTCAAAATAGAGGAAGTCTTTGAATACCAGCTTTTATAGTGGTCAATGATACCAGAACATATGTCTGCTCCTTTCCTGTCCAAGTTGGTGAGCTTAATGACTATATATAAATGGCTACGCTATAACAAACTATTTTGGGATTACATAAAACAGGAGCCTAATGCAACAGGGCCTTTCTTATGTAGACTGGAAATCAATTGTGATTATAGATATGTTCTTCTGCTCAAATAAGTCTGAAACTGGTTCACAAGTCATAGCATTTGCATGATATTGTCACACCCATTTTAGAACATAAATTAGTTAACTTACTCCTGCCACAGCAACATACATTGGCTGTTTTTCAGCCTCAGGAGCACTGAAGAGTTGTACAAGGACATTTGAATCACATGTTGCAGATTTGTTTTGAAAGAGGCTGCCAGCCACTTGTCCCACAACATAATCTTCACTTGATTCAGCAACAGCATTCCTGCCACGTGTTTTCCTATTTAAAAAAGATTGAGTTGGTCAGGATTCACTACAGGAAACAACTGCATCCAAAAATGTTAACTATTGATAATTTTCCCTAAGATTTTTGAAATGTATAAAAAGAGGGGATAATGTCATCAACTGTGGAATCCCTGTATGAAGAGATGCTTGTATTAAGAAATTTGCCAGTTTGTGGGGCATTGCTACTTGAGAATGCAGTGTCTATTACTGTAAACATAATTGCCCACGTCATTTTATTACTAGCATGTCATGCCCTATTTCTGTGTCTCTTTGTGTGTGTGTCTTTGAGTCAGTGCTGACTACTTGCCACTTCTTGTACTAATCCTTGCAGTTTTCTTGGCAAGATTTCAGAAATGGTTTGCCATTGCCTCTTTCCCAGGGGTAAAAAGAATGACTGGCCCCAAGATCACCCAGGGAGCTTTGTGCTAAATGCAGAACTAGAATTCCCAGCTTCTAACTTGGTGCATTAACCACTGCATCAAACTGGCTCTGAATCGTTTAATTGCCCCAAATCAGCTTTCAAGTTCTTTTTTCAGCAGATGAGCAGACGGAAAAATGGGGGAAAATGGGTCTTTAAGGGGGAAACACGTGGTACCCCGGGCGCAGCTGGAGCTTCAGCAACCCTTACTTCTTCTTGGAGGGGCCCCCACGGCATGATCCTAGGCGAAGCAATCTGGCTCCGGGGCCAAAGGAACAAACAGCTGCCAGAAGCCCCCCAAGACCCTTTAGGAGAAGAGGAGAAAACAACGAACATTCCCACAACCACAACCCTCACCCTAAGGCTGGAGAAACTTCAACCATCCGGACGCGCTTCATCTTCACTCGGCAGCTGCAGCAGCCACTTCCGCTTTGCCTTCAAGCATAGATCTAAACTAGCAACAGAGGAGACTTCATTGCCTTTCAAATTTCGCGAAGGACAAACGAACACGGGTACCTTCGTTTTGGTTTGTCCCTAGGGCCTATATCGGTATTTGGGCGTATTGGCATTTATAGCATTGTTGCCGACTGACTGGAAAAGACATTTCGTTAGGTTTTTACACATTCTGATTGAAATTCAGAGAAACTATTAAGACCGCCTTCCAAAAATTGCTGTGGTTCCCATCCTTACATCGTTCAGGTGCTGTTTGAAGATGCGGTTATTTTGCCAGCCTCCCCCCCTTTTCTTTTTTTTTTTTTTACAGTTCTTGGGTTTGCTTTGCTTTTTTATATTTTGCTTTTCCAGTCTTGTGGGTTTTTTTTATTCTTTTAATAAGTTGGGTTTTTACTTTTTAGCTGCTCAGAATGGTTTGGGAGTCAGGCAGTCTTTAAATAAAATTTTAAATGTTTAAGTAATCAGTAATGAGCTGAAGGGTTGAATCATGTTAAATCATCTGTATTGAACTATGGTTTATTGAATAAGACATACAAGGTTGGCAGCTATAGACACTGATGCACTGCAGGAGTGATGATCCTAAGCAGGGGAATGCTATCCAATGTATTTATAATTGAAGTTCTGTAACTAATAGAGCCAGTTTGGTGGTGGTGTTGTTAGTTGTGAAGTCGTGTCCGACCCATCGCGAACCCGTGGACATTGTTCCTCCAGGCCTTCCTGTCCTCTACCATCTTCTGGAGTCCATTTAAGCTCACACCTACTGCTTCAGTGACTCCATCCAGCCACCTCATTCTCTGTCGTCCCGTTCTTCTATTGTTTGGTGTAGGCATCAGGTTATAATCTGGGAAGACATGACTTCTAGTCCTGCCTTGGGTACAAAGCTAACTGGGTGATCCTAGACCAAGTTACTTCCTCTCAGCCCTAGGAAAAAGCAATGGCAATTATTTCTGAAAAACTTTGCCAAGAAAACTGCAGGGATTTGCCCAGACAGACTCTGAGAATTAGACATGACAGAAGAAACATATATGCACAATTTACTGCTGATTTACAAGGCTCCTGGACCATCAAGCCTAGGTATGCTCAACAGCTGGACTGAGCTGCCTAGGGAATACAGTGTGCTGAGCTTGATGTTGTTCAGAATGACTGCTGTTTTATAGCAAGGAGATTGAACTGAACTCCAACCCAGCCTATAACATCAAGAGTGAATTACTTTATAGCAGTGTTTCTCAATCTTTGTAAATTTAAGATGCATGGAATTTCCCAGCTATGCTATTTGTAGAGGAAATCTGGAAGTTTAAATTTACATATCTTAAAATTGCCAAGATTGGGAAACCTTGTTTCACAAGATTTGCCTTTAGATCGTCTCTTTCTAATTACAGATTTCTTACCATATAAAATAAAGCCCTGTATTGGAACCAGCATATTTTAAAAAAAAAATCTTTTTTTTTTAGTACATTGGAGTGAAGTATCATATTTTGCTTCTGGATTAATGCAGGTGTCTGCCATCACTATCTACTAATACTTGATTTTTTCATATATTTCAGTGGACTGTTTTCACTTCCTCTTGTAGACAAAAATTATAGATCTCTGTCCCGGAAGTCTGAGGTAAGAGCACTCTAACATTTATCTCTTCTATGTAGTTTGCAAGCGTTTAATTACGGTAGTACTTCGCCCACAAGGCTGAAGCATTCTGATTTTGTCTCCCCGTCGCTGGCGTTGTACGTCATATTGTGCTAATAGACTCGATTGAAAAAGAACTTGCGCGCTCTCTGATAGGTGTCTTATTCGAAAATGCTAAATGGTAGCAAAGGGACTCTTTTATAACCTACTTAGTCCAGTGTTTAAAATGCGTCATTAAAACCTTGGCCCGCTATCCCTCCCCCCAAAATACTTAACTGGTCTTTCCGCTACATCAATAGAGAACCGGGTCAATAATAGTCAGCATGTACAGTATTGATGCAGAACCGTAATCCTGCGATTAAACTGTCCTTCGAAGATAGAAATCATTTGATGCATTTCAAGCTTTGTGAACTCCTTGATATTCATATAGTGATATATTCTGGTTTTTTTTTACACCGATTAAGTGCCATCAAATCATTATCGGTTCATTTTTCATATATAGTTCAGGAATATATCTATCTTTCAAAGGTAGGGAATTTTATAACCTACGGATATTAACATATCTATGGATATTAAATTAAAGGGAAAGATTGTGGGGTGCATCCATATTGTATGTTGTCCTATTATCTATTTTACACTTACAGCATGGTAAGGTTGACAATCAAGTCTTTAAATATTCTCTCAGGGACCAATAAACACAACAAAAATGATAATTTGAATTAATTTCCTACTTAAATCATGCTTTATATTCTTTTAAACCCAACCATTGATTTTTTTTATTAATATTGAGTATTCTAACTCTTTATTCCAGCTTTTGTAAATATTAATATCTACTTGAGGGGCACTTTTAAAATGTTTATAAATATTGTAGAATTAAAAGCATCCAGTCCCCATAACAATCCATTGCAAATTTAAAAGATATTTAATTGAATAGATTGCTATATTTCAGGCAATCAAAATATTCCTTGCAACAATGCAAATAGTTTAAATCTTGATTGGTTAATACTCCTTCTTGCCCAGGATTTAAAAAATATTCCTAATGTTATATTCCAGTGTTTATAAGAGCGATAGTAACAAATATGCTTTCATTTCTACATTTTTAAGTATGTTTTGCATCACCTAATGCAGGAAATGCAGTAAAGCTATGTATTGCTAACTACAGACCCAGACTCTCAAGATTTGGAATGCAATGGGCTACCTGGAATACAGCCCTTAGGAATATAATTGGCCTGTTTCAAGAGAAGGAAGTGCAAGATCCTGGCTGGGCATTAACAAGTACTTATGTACAAGCCTTACTGAAATACAGCTTCAGTGGTGCTGGGATATGCTGGCTTCTTTAATTTAAAAAAATTAAATTGCAACCAGTTTTTTTTTAATATACCACTTAAAATTTAATTCTTGTACTTGGAAAGTATTGCAAGCTTATACATGGAGTTTAATGTGATGGTTATATAGCAACTTTTAAACTCTTCACAATATATAGTTTGTATCAAGCGAGTTTTTTTTTTTATATTTGCAAAGCTCCTTTTTTTACATTTGCAACCAGAAAGCTCAACTGACCAGTTTATCAAAATTTGATTTCTATTTTATTTATTAATGTGAATCCCAAAGACCAAAACCCCACTTAGAGCCACACTGGTTTAATATTTTATGAGAGATTGTTGCTAAATTGCTTTCTGTATTATCTTTATTGTTAAAATTATAAATTATGTTATGTAGGAATGAATTCTGCTTATGTCTCTATTGTTTTTTTTTATTGGAAACAGTATTTTAAGAAGCTAACACAGCTTTCCAAGAACTGATCATAAGAGCTCAAATCTAGTTTTGCTAATAATTTGGACACTAAATACAACCTAATTATTTTTGGTAAACTGCAAGCTCAACTCATGTGAACAAATCTGAAAAAGTAACAGATCTCTTCCAAATTGTTTGGAAAAGACTCAGTGAGAGAATCCCATTATGATTTACTGATGAACAAGCAATGTCCTGGTGCATGCTGCTTAAAACGTATGTTTGCTTCATCTGCAAGTAAGCAACATTAATTTTAAATTATAGGTAGCTCTATCTGTGGATTGTTTAACATATTATCCGAATCATTGCTTTGTTCCTCTCAGAAGGAAAGCTAAAAGCTAAAGGAATAAAAATACAAATATACTGCACCTTATTTGAGACATTTATGAGTTGTGATGGCGCAGTGGTTAGAATGCAGTACTGCAGGCTACTTTTGCTGACTGCCAGCTGCCAGCAGTTCGGCAGTTTGATTCTCACCGGCTCAAGTTTGACTCAGATCCTTTCGAGGTCGGTAAAATGAGAACTCAGATTGTTGGGGGCAATAAACCACTTGGAGAGTGCTGTAAAGCACCATGAAGTGGTATATAAGTCTAATGTAGGGGTGTCAAACTGCCGGCCCATGGGCCGGACGCATCATCCGGAAGCTGCACCCACCCCATTGCCGGCAATGGCAAAACCGTCCTGATACATTGCGTGACGTCATGTGATGTCGCGAGTTTGACATGTCTGGTCTAATGTTATTGCTATTTGCTCCACAAAAATCCCAAACCTTTCTTTGGACAAAACAGTTAACAAAATAGGTTAACTACAACAGTCTGCTCTATTTTGTATGTCATGGGAACCAGCACAATCTCTGCAAAATTTGGAGCAGTTTTGATACTAATTTCTAATTAGCAGATCAGTTGTGGATTATTAGGGTTTTTTCTTCTTTTTATATAGCTGCAAGTTCCTCTCTTAAGAAGAATGGGAGGGAATATTTAAAGGTGCTTACCCAAATCAAGATGACAGAAATCTCTGCAGGTATGAGGGAGTTTGAAAGGTTTACAGCCTACTAAGGGCTTGGGCTCTTGTTACCTTGTTCACTGATTAATGTTTACACATTCCCCTTTGGGCACTTTTGATTATTAGGAACACCTAATAATTTATGGAGATAGGAAAGAAAATTTAGGCCTGAAACCTAACTGAATTTTTAATTTGGTCAAAAGAAACATTTATGTTGTCCCAATAACAAATGTTATTATGACCAACAAATGAACAACACTGGATTTACAGCCAAAGCTGCCAGATATGCTGAAATGTCTTAATTAAACTGTTAGAAACAGAATCCAGTATTCACAAACTATGGCATTTTATTTCAGAGGCCTTTGCTTACATTTGTACAATATATTACATAATTCCATTGTCTGCAGAACCTAATATATATTTTATAGCTTTTCTTTATATGCCTTTCCTTCAATGTTTGTCAACAATTTTTACAGTCCTGTACATATGAAGCGTTTGAAACCATTTTCAATAAAATCAGTTACCTTTAAAGCACACACTACTAAGACTGAAAATGCTTTTCTTAGAAAAGTCAAATGTAAAGATTCGGACACTCTAGCATCTACAAACAGAATGTTTGAAATTCTTACATGTTGTATTGCCAGAAAAAGAAAAAAAAACATGCCAGCCCCCATAAGCCCAGCCAAAAGAAGTACACAGAACTACAATTAAAACAGTAAAACAATCTGTACAGTAAAGTACTGTGTATTAACAGTGCCAGGTATTAAATAGCTCGAATGAACACTCCCGCAATATACAAATGTCTTACAAAGTTGTGTAATTAAATACAAGTGCCAAACGAGAGGGCATGGGTTCGATAACAACATAAAAGTCAATAGAAGTGAAAACAGCTAAATTGATTTTGGATTTTATACAAGGCAATTAAAACAAAAATTTCATTTCAACCACTCAGTTAGCTATTTATATTATAAACAACTATCCCTTTGTGGCAATGTTCTTCTCAACAAGGACTTAATATTAACACCTTTTACTCCTTCTTGAAGACCTCTCAATTGCAGCTCATAATAAAATAAGCATTACTAATGAAATATTTGTTGCTTCAAACTGAAAAGAAACTTTTACAAGAAAACACAAAAATATAAGTGTTATAATTCATTATGAATAAATATACACTTTAAACTGGCTAAATACAATCTTTGTACATTAAGATTTAATACAGTTTGTTAGCCGTTTTCTTCCTTTTTTCACAATGTATTTTATCAAAATTAAAAAAAATACTGATTCATAGAAAAATGGCAAAGTACAGTAGTTTCATTCCAATTCGTGGGTTATCAAAAACCCACGATAACCTATTTTGCCTAATTCAAACCTGTAAACATTTAGTCAGCCTTTTAAGCAGAACCCTTATATTTGGTTGTCAATCTGATGAGAAACATCCTGTTAACGGCAGGTTTGGAACTGAATTACCTGTGCTTGACTTGTACAGTTACAGTCACCATTAAGGCAACAGTTAAAAAACAATTATCTTGTAAAAATGAAAATAGGTTCATTTTTCCTAAAGAATGGAAAAATATCAAATGTTCCAGCTTTAACAAAATACCAGGGAATACGTGAACAGTAAGCCACTTTAACGTTTTAATTTGGCCTACCCAACAACTGCATGCTTACCACACTGATTCTACTGGCAGTGAACAACTTCCATTTGCCACAGTGGAAGGCCTTCAATTCATTCAACATACAATTCCCAGACAAGTTGGAAACAATTATTGCTTGAGGAAAAGCAGTCTGTTGTACTTTTTCTTCATAAAAGTGCACTTAAGTGCAAAGTTAGCTTGTCAAGATTTTTTTAAATACAAAATAGTGCTTGTCTGAATTTTGTGCCACTGTGCAGTATAAAAAGTGGCTCTCAGCAGCCTTTAAGTGCAAAGTGCTTCGGCAAGTCTTGCTGTCACCTGCACTCGACTGACATTCCATTCTGTGATGAATTGGACACGGGTGGATCTGCTAAACTTAACATAACTGCTGCCGTAATGGTACTGGAGGAAGGTGAGGAAGAAGAGGAGGATGTGGTAGCAGCACCTGCAATGATAGTAAAGAAATAAATTATCCCATCTGAATGTTTGCTACTGAAACTAAGAATATGGGGTATATACAGATGTACATTTTAGAAAAGTCTAGTTGCTCAACACTTTTAGTCCACAAACTTAAGGATATAGGTAGTCCTCAACTTACGACCACAGTTGAGCCCAAAATTTGTCATTAAGCGTGACGTTTGTTAAGTGAGTTTTGTCCATTTTACAACCTTTCTTGCCGCAGATGTTAAGTGAATCACCACAGTTGATAAGTTAGTAACAAGGTTGTTAAGTGAATCTGGCTTCCCCATTGATTTTGCTTGTCAAAAAGGTTGCAACGTGACCTTGGGACACAGCAAGGGTCATAAGTATGAATCAGTTGCCAAGCATCTGAACTTTGATCACATGATCATGGGGATGCCGCAAAGGTTGTAAGTGTGCAAAGTGGTCATAAGTCACTTTTTTCAGTGCCATTGTAACTTTGAATGGTCACGAAATGAACTATTGTAAGTCGAGGACTAGCTGTAGTTATGCACAATTACGGACACTCTTACTCTGAATTGAGTTAAGAAAAGGGAAGACTGCACCCTTAATAATAAGGCTAACTATGCCTACTTCTTATAATGGATCTATGAGAATTCACTAAAATCTTGTAGTGCTATATTTTTTATTTGAGGGGGGGAAAACATACGTGGGATGATCAAGTTGCTTACTTTATATTTTTAAAGAATCCCAGATAATTTACAGTCCCATTATAAGCACACTTCCAACTTATAAGCAGTAAATTAGACATGACTTAATTATCAGAGTACTTTTTCTGAATTTAAAACGGCAGCATCAGGCAGATCCTTTGTTCAAATACTGCCCACATACATACAAAATATGTCTCCGAAGCCTATAAATGTTCTCACTTGCTTTCAGAATTGAATATTCTTCAAGTGTATTATGTTCCCCATTGTTATCAGTGAATATGCAGAATAATATTAAGGCCATGCCGTATTTTAAAAAATTTACAGAGTTGGGATACACAGAAAGAAATTGGCTCAGTTCTAAACAAACGGCACTTAGGTCAAAGAATTAAGGTGGTCTGTATTATTACTATGGAAAGTGTAACTTTTTCTTACATATGCCAGAAGTAATCATCAGAAATATAAATACTAAAATGTGACAGTTTGTGGATATTATAAGTAGCTGAAAATTAGTTGCTGGTATTTAGATAGTTAAAATATTAGTCTGAACCCTGCCTGTAGTAGCTCCATTTTTTTAAAGTCTATGCATGAGTTTTTCCCACTCACACCTCCAGAAATGGATGTTGATGACTATATAATTCTAATTAAATAATTGTAATTAAATAAATGAGGAGGTAATAAGCCACCTGGGAAAGCCAATGGAAATCATCAAAACAATTAAAAAACGAAAGTTAGAATATTTCAGACACGTGATGAGACACCCAGAAAAATACAGCATACTCCATTTAATCCTCCAGGGAAAGATTGAAGGCAAACGAGGTCCAGGCAGAAGAAGAACATCATGGCTTCAAAATCTAAGGGACTGGTTTGGACAAAACTCAGCAGCACTTTTTCGTGCGGCTGCTGATAAAAACAGGATCACCAACATGATCGCCAACGTCCGATAATGGATATGACACAACAAGAAGAAATAACTCTTCCAAACTCACTTGCATCCCCCCTCCCCACCAATGCTAACTACATTAAAATTTAAGTCCACCGTTTGTGGACCTTCATTTCATTGTGTACCTTTCTTTTACTGTGTCTCTCCCTAGATGAATTTTTAAAAATCCATTTAACATATTGTATTTGCAGACTTTAAGCTTGAAAATAATAGGTGAGATAA